CTCCCACAGACTGGCTATGTGGTAGACAGATTAGTCCAGTCAATTTAAGAAGGTATATAAAAGACACCTGTCACCTATGATTAAAAAAAATTAGACCTTTCATTTCTTTGTAAGTGGGCAAAATCTGCAGAGGATCAAATATTTTCCTCACTGTAGATGACTTCAAGTTCTACACACAGCAAAGTTGTTCTGGCCTACATATACAATCAGACAAAACGTTGCTGTGTCTGTCAGCAACTGTGTAGAAAGAATCAGGAAATCCTCTAAGCCTAAACGATGTCTTTATGTTCCATCTGAAATTAATCCTGCAGATCATGCCACCAGGCCAGTGTCTTGGAGAAATGTACACTGCTTTGACAGCCCAAGTAGACGAGGTTTGTACGCATTACTGCAAAGTTAGTCCATATTGCACACTGCTTTCACACTAACCCAATGATGCGCACTGTCAAGGTTGGCACATATGCCAAAAACCTCTTTCTGTAAAAGACGTTGCTGAAAGCGAACTGATCATAATAGGCAGTGTACAACGACAATTTATTTGTGGCCACTAACATGGGTTTGTGGCAGTCCCCCTCCCCCTCTTTCATTTTAATCTATTTCTCCTCAGTGCAGGGCAGTTTTAATTACATTGCCCCTTTAAAAGCATTGCCCCTTTAAGAAACCCCTTACCTGTTTGGGCGGGAAAATTGTCCAGCTTCTAGAAGGCTCTGGGGGCTCACCTCTCCCTATAAAAGGTCAGCACCTGAGGAGCAGAGGTCACTCGGCTGGACTCACAGCGCAGCAAGCTACCACCGCCCCCCCCTTTTTTCGTAAAAAAACCCCCATATATGTCGCAAGCTTTTTATGTGGTTTGTCACCCTCAACGTGAGGGAGGACTTAATTTATGTACAGTCCTTCATGATGGTATTGCTTGAGTCGTAGTGGCTAGGCAATTATTTGGTGATTTATAGATTGAGATTGATCGTTTGATATTTTAAGTAAAGTTGATTTATTTTAAACCAATAAAAAGTGCCGCGGCCAATTTCAATCCAGATGTTGTCTCTTGTGTATTTATTAATTTGTGTATTTATTAATGTATGTTAATTTACTATATTTTGTACCGCCTGCAATCCCATGTCTTTAGCTCAGAAATAAAATATATCCGTGTCAAGCAGGATATTCTTAAAATCAATGCAACTGCCAAGCTGAATTCATTCTTTGACATTGATGTGACTATGGATCCAGAGTTCACAGCCATCCTTACTCTAGCTTCTGTTCGTTCTCAGGAGCTTGGAACTGTTCCTGTTTCACATGGAAACTTTACAATCAGAATTACATGAGCGCCCATATTCTTCAGGTACTAACGCAAGCAACTCATACGTAGTAAAGTAAGCAACTCATAGCCTACTTAGGTTGGAAGATGACACCAGAAGAAAAAAATCATAACATTGTACAAAAGAAGTGCCTAGCTATTACATGAGCACTAGAGGATTTACAATATTTTGCCGGGGTGCTACTTCTGACAAATAATGGACCATGCTCTGTTAAAGTGGATGGCCCAGGCTAAAAGGTGGAACCCATAAGTCACTCGCTGGTTTCTGGCACTCCAGGATCTCTTTACAAGAGTGGCAATTTGGCTTGGTTGTTGTCAGAAAAATGTGGATGTCCTCTCTAGAAAACAGAGCTTGGCAGCGGTGTTCAAAACAACAGAAACAGAGGATGGGGGTTTGTGAAAAACAGTCCCAATTTGTCCAGGGCATGGTCTAGGGGTTTACATTCCTACCAGACTGTGGTGCCTAATCAAGTGAGCTGATTGTAGAAAGTCGCCCAGTCTTTTCAGCAGTAGGTAGGGGTTAAAAACTAGCTACACTCTCTCCCACTTGTGAAATAAAACGCAGTTCCTGTGTTGTCCACTTCTGCCTATGTATGTGTGAAAAGACCACCCTGTGAGTATTCCCCAGAATTGTCTGTGCCTTGACAGGAATCCAAATCAGACTGAAAGTCTGGTCTGTAAAATGGTAAGAGACTGTTGAGAGTCATTCTGTGAATGAAACAGATTGTTTCACTAAATCCGATACTCACTCTATAAAAATTACTAGGGCTGAGACGAAAGCTAGCAAGAGTCCGAAAATTAATTTGATGACCTATATTGCTGTATTGTTATGAATATTCCCCTTTTTGTATCTTCATGTGGGCAATAAAAGTGGCCAGGAAGCCCTAAGATGCACCTTGTTGAGTGGACTGACTAACTGAAATTATCTACCTTTTTGATGCTGAAACCTACAATAGATATACGTATGTATGTTAGACTAAATAAATTAGCTGATTTATGTAGCATATAATGAATTTTTTAAGCAGAACTCCAGGCAGGATAAGCTTTCCAGGATTACATCAGTAAACATACCTTAGCCTCACATGCAAACCCTCATTATTGCAAGCACTTCTCAGCATCTTAAAAAGTGATTTGCCTAAATGCCCGAATAGTATTGCTATCACTGTACTAATGAGCTGTTCCAGCTTTAAGCCCCGATCGTGGGTTGTTTGCTTTTAAAACCAATGTTGCTCAATACTTTTCAAAAGACTTTGCAGGTATAATGACAATGTTGCACAACATGTGAAATAATTAGACAGCCAAGTAATGAGCTTTTTTAAATAAAAGGGTCAGCAATGGGTATGTACATGAGCCCTCATGGAGTGACTTGGCCTATTAATAACACTTAATCTGCCTCCAACCATTCAAAATAAACTCTGGATTAAAAAAAAAAAACACAAATGCAGGATAGTGCACCACACTGCAGCTAACACAAGTGCAGAGAAATGCAATATACCCTAAAGGTGGCTCCCTTGGCTGGCAGGTTATGCAGAAACAAATGTTATGAAGGGTACCTCATGTTTGGTATTCTTATTTATTCAGTCTATTTTCCGTAACATTTTAGGCTCTGACATGAACACTTTTTTTCTACTACCCTTCAGAAGTGTTTCTCTTTCTGTGAGATGTTGTGCACTAAATTTTTTTTTTTGTGCAAAACCTGTGCCATCTTTATTCAGATCACAAGGCACTTATTATTATTAGTATTTTGGGGATACATGCCTCTTTGGTGCATTTCAGTTATATATACTTCTCCAGTGTTGAATATATGTTAAAATGAAAAAAATCATACAGAAGTAAAATCAGTCAATGAGTCTATAGTTCATGTGTTTTATTTAAAAAATAGATATTTGAATCATGCTAAAAAAAATAACAAATTACTCACAGAAATATGAGTACAATGATCTTTAACAGAGGTATTTGACAGCACTTAAATAACATACACACTTTATGGTTTAATACAAACATACACAAAAATATAGCGCCTCAACATGATAAAAAAATAGAAAAATCCAGTTTTGTTCCAGTGCCTTTGTATTAGATATTTTGTGCTGCTTTATGGTTGTAATTCAATGCTAGAATGTTCCTGTTTCTCTGCATGACTGTGGAGAGAGTGTTACCACAGTCTAAAAGCCTGTGTCATCATGTACTTGGTAATAATAAATTAAAAGGGTATTACTCACTCACAAAATTCTAAGTCTCCATTTTATCGAAAATGATTTAAGAAGAAAAAAAAAGCTATATTAACAATCATTTCACAAATTAGAAACAAAGTTCTAAATTAATGCCACAAACATTATATAATTTACAATATGCAGAATCCCTTTTCCTAGTTTCTAGGTAAGAGTGTTTAAAAAAAAATAAAATAAATTGTAACATTTACACATTTTGGGTTTTGGCTGGCTTCATGAAACTTCCAGAGCTATAGTATTGCTGAGGCTGTTACCGTGGAAACTGTGGAAAGTTGCTTTCTTGAATGTTATTTCTAGTTAATTTAGTAGGCAGTTGTCCATGGGATACCATTTATTTAAAAAAAAAACATTTTGTGTTCAAATGTGTGGCCATCTGAAGTTAATTAGGAAAAAAGTGTATTAACAGAAAAAGGAAAGGATTACATTTAATCAACCATCTATGGTGTTTCTAATGCAGAAGGAAAGTTGAAGATAAATCTGATTTGTTGCTGCAAGCAATAGATACACGTTCTCTTTAATGGCATTAATGCTGTCTTTTGTTGAATGAGCTGGTACTTTTTTTTATTGCCCTAAATATAGGCACACATAATGTTCCAGTCTATTGAGATGCATCCTGGATCTCCACAAAATGCACGGTTCTCTGCAGATCAGACATGCAAATATTCAAGTACATGTAAAACTTGCACATCACAAATTCTTCTAAATAGATCATCACTATGTTAGTTCATATTTACAGTTTGGTACCTGCATAGTTATATCTTGTATTCCTTGTACAGTAACCAAAGAAGAGCAGTTCATTTACATTGTGTAAAAATGTAACTTCTACACAAGGGCTTTACTGCCTGGGTAGAGTTGTTTTACACGTAAAGAGAAAAAAAAGACTAAAACTTGACACCTAACAAATGTCATAAAAGTAAAAAAAAAAATGAGACAGCACATACAGTATATACATATATTGCACATATATATATACATACATTTCATAGAAGTAGTCAAATTAAAAGAATATTCACACAGTTTTTACTGCCATACTGTCTGAGGTATATAAGAAGCCACTGGGTGATTTTACATTTCAACATGAACCTTATTCTAATAAAAATGAATACATTCATTTCTGATATGTCAGCTTAGCGTGTGCAGATCTATGGAACTGAAATGCAGAATCAGATATTATGTAACAAACAATCAACATGATCAAATCACAGCCCCAAGTAGTCTTGAAGGCAATGTATCCTCATTCAACAGAATGATCCCCTGTTGTCCCCAAATTATTGGGAAAGCAGAATAGACTTTAAACAGTCTCGTGTACATTTATCTCTCTTTCATTCTTCATAGTTCTGTTCATCATCCTATGACAATTACATGTCATGCTTTCAGTAAATGAAACATTTAAAATATGGCTGGTATGTACAAATATATATACCATTAGTTATGGTATTGCAATATCTTGCTCGATATGTTAGAGTCTTAAAGCATACAAAAATGATAGCATAACCTATTTCTTTCTGGTATTCAGGTATTCTTCAATGTAATCAACAAAGATGTCAAATTCTCCAACGGCCTTGTAAATACCTTGATCTTTTAACTAGAAGAGAAAGAGAATGACCACTTAATTGGTTATAGTCTCACATGCGGCAATAAAAGTTCGGATCAAGTTTGGATGCTGGCTTTTTTGGACTTGCAATTGTTTACTGTTAATCAAATCAATATTTTTAGTAATAAATGCACTCATACCAATACCCAGTTTTTTTAGGTATAATATCGAAAAGGAGGTTGCGTCGTAAATAGATACTAAACATCTCAAGCCTCAATGGTTATTCAGTATGTGCACGTAGTTTGGGGTGGGCAAGTGTTATTTTATTTTACTATTTTTTTTTACTTTAAGTGACATTAAAGTCATATATGTGTCCCACCCCCCTGCTGCTTTAAGGACTTAGCTTAAATGATGCTGCACCACTTGCTCAGCCTCCTGTGATAGCGAATAAGGATGGAGAGTGGGTTCAAGCACTCAGCGATCAGGGAATGCTGAGTGTTGGTAAATAATTTAGGCCATAGTATGTTTACTGTGTCTACAATTATGAATGAATGGGAAGTGATCTACATCACTTCCTATTCATTCATGATTGTGGACATGGTAAACATACTATCTCCACAAGTTAGGAATGAACAGGAACACTCAGTATAAAAGGTTTCCTGTTCATTTATAACAGAGGCTGCAGAAAAAGAGATTGAGGACTCTGTGTCCTCAATCTCTTTTTCTATTTTAAAAGGGAAATATCAGGGATCTGTTTAGACCCCTGATATTTCCCCAAAGCCCCTAGCAGTAAAGTAAAAAAAAAAAGAATATTTAATATAAATAAATAAAAACGTAAAAGTTTATAAAAAAAAATATTTTAAAAGGTTACAAAAAATAGTTTCTGTCTAACATTTTTTTTTATTTTTGGTTCTGTTTCGGTTTTAAAATTTTAATTTCGGTGCACCTCTGTTGTGTATATTTCAGAGATGACTAGCTCATTTTGTGTTTCTAAAGTCTTCTATTCAGCTCTTTGACTAATAGAGATGTGCCCAGAGGTTCAGAATGGAAACAATATGCTTGGATGCGCAAGGGATATCTTGCCCAACATGCATTAGTTTTGCAATTTCACACAAGGGTAAAAAGCATGATCTTGAGTTTTTTCAAATCTAAAGTTCATCCTCTTGCATTCATTGCTCATCAGTATAAACAGGAGTAGCAACATACCTTTTTGTATTTTTCTTTGATCTGCTTGATGGCCTTGCTTTTTCTATCACATGGCAAAAAATGTTGCTGTCAAAAGAACCAATAAGAAAATTAGCTACAGGAGTAATAAAAACGAACAAGCCCGGCCATCCTGAGAGACCATTTAATATGCATTATCCTTTATATCATAATAAGATTAATGTACTGTTAAATAATTTGCGTCCACAAAATTATACAAGTAAAGAAGCACAGTAGATCCTTCTTAAATCAAAAGCTCCCTACATGTCTAATGTCAATCCCAAATCCCAAAATCAAAGGGTTATTCCTGATTTAAAGATAGTGGGAAGGTTAATGCAAATCCTTTTTTATGCCTCTTCCACAAGAAAAAAAGACCAGTTAAGGGAAAGAAGGGATCTCTGCTAGTTGTAGTCATATTTAATAGAGGAGATACCATATCCAATGTGCAGGTCAGGAAACATTTGGGCAATGTAACCTATTTTACAATGAGGCTACAAATAATATAGATTTTTATAAAAAAAAGTTAAACTCCTCAGATAACACAGATAATTTAAATTCTTAAAGGTTGAGGGTACTAAAAATGCAATAAGGGATTGTTACTGATGAGGAAAAGCTGCCTCTGTCGATCGTTGCGGAAATAGCTGCTAATAGCAGCCTGGGTACACGAAGCAGGACCTTAGCTGTCAAACTGACAACAGGTCCTGTCAGCTACCTAGACTCAGCAGGAAAGGACTCTAAAACATGTTAAGGTATTTTTTCCGTTACAGGTAAAAGCTAACCCCAAATTTTAGATGTAGTAGAGAAAAAGTTACAATTTGTGGACAGTTTCCTTATTATGTATGTTACTCTGAGGGGAGATTTTGCCTCACTTCCTGTCCCTGGGAAACTCATGAAAAAAAAAACAAAGTGGTGTGGTTGTCACCAGTCAAGACACAGAAAAATACAGTCCTGACTGAAACTTCCCCAAAAGGGACAAAGACAATTCCAAAAACTGACATTTTCCTGTTGTGTTTAAAATTCGTTTAGGCATTTATATACCTACATCTGCCATTCCTAGAGAGATCATGTGTATTTTTTTGAATTTTTTTTATTGGTGCTTGTGTGTACATATAATTGCATGTATAATTTGCATATAGTGACAGAGAGGAAATGTCAAAGAAAATCTCATCGAGATTTTGGGGTGATTATAAATGTTTTATTACATTTCATAGATTTTTTAATGAAAATTTACTGTACATTTTTAAATTATATAGTAAAAAATAAAAACCCCAGTGATGATTAAATACCACCATAAGAAAGTTCTATCTATCCCCAAAAAAATGGTATAAAATTAATTTCAGTACAGCGTTGCATGACGGAATAAGGGGTTGATTTACTAACCTTATAAACACGCCACAAACAAGTATACACCTCTGTAGTGTGTTCCCTCCCAGCATCTGGTGGAATCTAGACACCTTTGTAGTGTGTACACACCCAGCAGGTGTGTTGTGCAAAGCCCTGCATGAATTGCAAGGTGATGTTGTGTAAATTAGCTCTATGTTGTGTTGCTTGCGTTGAGGAATGCAGGAATGTAAATGCATGAGCTAACCATTTTTGTCTAAACTGTGAAGCAGCATTATATATGCATCATGTGCATGATTTTTCCATATATGGCATTAGTGGAAATTAGAGACTTAGAGACTTTTTGGTTGATAAATACGTTTTGCTGGTGCGTGCGTGTGTTTAGGTTAGTACACTGATCCAACATTGTTTCCTCCTCTGCTATTTAATAAGGCACACACTGTTGCATTGCATACAGCGTACCCATTCCTCTGTTTCTACCTTTTATCCCTTTAGATTGTAGGTTCATATGGTCTGGGGTCTTTCTCCTTGCTCCTGTATATATTTTGGGATATATTGTGAAAATGTAATTATGTTAATTGTGCCTAAGCAGTACAAAATGTACCTTTTTGTGTGGAATTCCGCCTAAAAAAAGCAGTGTACTTCCTGGTATGTGAGGTGGCCTAAACACTCCAACCCTACAGTCTTATATCTGCATACATGCAATGTGAAATTGAGGCCCTGCTGCCTTTGAACGCTAATCAGATTTGTAGTGAGATTTAGTGATCTCACTACTGAGCTGCTCATCATTGTTCTTGCTGGAGGCTCTGACATGAGAAAGCAAAATTATGCCTTTAGCAAGATGGCCTTCTCCATACAGAGACCAAGATAGAACAAGACATGGAAAAAGATTAGCTGCAGGGAGACCTCAGGATACTGGTGATTAGCCCTTTACCCTTTGAATACCTTTTTGGCCAAATCTTCAGGCGTTCAATTCCTTAATAATAATAATAATAATAATTTTAAAAACCTGTAAGTTCTCTTTTTGGTGTCTGACATGCATAGGATAGTATCTGACACTCTGTATTCTAAAGCACAAAATGCCATTTTCTGTATTACCCTTCTGTATTACTGTACTATATACTCACACAGCGTTTCATTGTCTGCTTTAGGTCTAGCAGTTTGTCCTTCATGAAATTCACATTTGATTTAATGACAATACTGCCTCTTTGTGCATATGGTAGAACATCATCTAGGTAGAATCGAATCATTTCTGATACAGTTTGACATCCAATAGAACTCTGAAAAAAATGAGAGGACATCACTAAAACAGAAGCTTGATATCTGTTACATTTCCACTAAATTTACTCACTGTACTAATGCAAAGCTAACAGCTGATTAAAGGAACCCTTACCTGAAGTTAGAGGCTGCCATTGCCAACTACTCATCCTGCAAATGCTAGTTGCATGGCTGTCATGCTGAACCTCTTGCCTAATACTTGGAGTTACTAACCCAGAACAAGTGTGCAGATAAGGTCTTCTGACTCTGACTTCTGTGATCTGCATACTTGTTTATGTCAGTGACTCAGAAAACAGCCAGACAGTTAGCATTTATTTTTCAGAAGAAGGGCAGCAATGGCAATCTCCATATGTCACTTAGGAAATGTTTACTTTAAGGTTCAAATTCTAGCTTCTAATGTTTCATTTTCATTTTGAGTAAATCAAAATGTAGGAGTATCACAACATAAAGTATCTGAAGATGTCTAAACATCTTGTTTTTACATCAGTTACACTGGGTGCTCCTACACTTCGATTCACGAAGACCATCCACCAGTGAGGACAGACCCTATAGTGAATCCACTATAATCATCACCAACCCCAATGTGATCCAGTGCCACTGCAACCACTGCTATATACGATACATATTATTGTCCTCCTTACCTTGAAGTCCTGTAGCAAACTATTTTCAAGTAATATGGTATCCAATTCATCATCCTTCATTTGCTGGAAAATAAAAATAAAACAAAATGCTGAAAAGACATCAGAGACAGTGTGGAATTAATATTAACCTAAAGTGACAATAAACTCGAGTTAATCATTAAAAATGCATTCAAGTACCTCATTTGTGCATCATTCACCTGTTGATCTTCAAATAATGTTTGAATTCACACTGACACTCTCCTTCTTTCTGGAGGGTGGCTGCTTTTGTTTCCCATGATCCCAGTGTGTGTTGTAAAGTAGCCACCGCTCCAAGGTCACTCCTCTGATGGACGACAGTCTTATGTTTCGTTTACTAAATTGCATTGTGATTATAGTCCATCATGGGAGCGAGCTTTGGAGCAGTGGCTACTTTACAACACACACAGAGACCATGGGGAACAAAAGTAGCCACCCTCCAGAAGAAACGACAGCATCAGCACCAATTCAGAGATGATTTGAGGATCTATAGCCGAGTGATACACAAATAAGATACATTTCTGTTAATAGTTAAGGTACTTGAATGCATTTTTAAGGTTTAACTCCTGAGTTTAGAGTCACTTTAAGTAACTAATACAATATTTCACTTAACCTTTTTTTTTCCAAACACTCAAGTAGATTTTGAATTTTGTGATGACTTGGACACTGTAGCTAACATATGCTTATCTGTTGGTGTTTCTCATGATTGATATATATCTTGCCAATGGCTTGGTGATTTCTCAGCTGTCATGCACAGGTATTCCCTCCTGAATGGAGCGGTATGAGCAGGGCGAAAGGTAAGTATTCCCTCTATTATTTGGCAGGTATGTCCTGTTTTTACAAAGTTTGTTATGATAAGGTTGCTTTAAGACACACACGCTGGTGAATGGCTACTGAAGGTTTTAAGGCACACACCTTGTTAAATGATGTAAAGATAATGGGGGTGATTTACTAACCTAAACACACACACACACACCAGGTGTGTGGGATTTTCACACAGCAAAACGTATTTATCAACCAAAAAGTCTCTAAAAGCATATTTCCACTAATGCCATATACGGAAAAATCATGCACATGATGCATATATAATGCTACTTCACAGTTTAGACAAAAATGGTTAGCTCATGCATTTACATTCCTGCATTCATCAACGCAAGCAACATAACATAGAGCTAATTTACACCACATTACCTTGCAATTCATTGCAGGGCTTTGCACAACACACCTGCTGGGTGTGTACACACTACAAAGGTGTTTCGATTCCTCCCATAGATCATGCTGGGAGGGAACACACTACAGAGGTGTATACACGTTCGTGGTGTGTTTAAAAGGTTAGTAAATCAACCCCAATATCTTCTTCTTTTGGGTCAGTAGATATGTGTTGGATATTTTAGGTGTATTTATGGGTATTGTTAATAATAATGTTTTGCAGCAGCAACATGCAAGTATATATAGTGTTCTTTTTCAAGATTTTCTTTTCGTTTTAAAACGGGAACAGAAAAAACAGTTTGATTTGTGCAATCCATTGCCCTTCGAGTTTAAAGAAGCAGTGATTAAGGTTGCAGCTTTGGGCTTGCTCAATCATATTAAACTATTCAATATATCCTGTTATGCAATAAATGATGAAGTTTAAAATTCAATACAATATTGACTTTTAGTGCACTGCAGTAATTTGTTGTACAGTATGGCAAAAGGTTACCAAGATTTCGTACAGCTACAACAATTATAAACAAAATACAATGACGTGTGTGTGTGTGTGTGTGTATATATGTATGTATATATATATATATGTAATTATATATATATATACACATACACACACACACACACACACACACACACACAGGTAGCCCTCAATTTACACTAGGGTTAGGTTCCAGTGACATAATACACTATATTTAAAACTTTGAAATAATGTTATGAATGCTCCAAGGATACCCCTTTGTCCCTAGCATGGCTGTATGTGCCTTCACATCTCCAAATTAACGTATGTGTGCCCCTGTTCTCCTCTGAATCTGCAAGTGTACCCCTGTGCTCCTCCATATCTCCAAGTGTACCCCTATGCTCTTCTGTAGCTCCAAGTGTACCCCAGCATGTCTCTGTGTATATCTACATGTGTATCCCTGTGCCACCAGCGCATCTCCATGGGTGCACCACCATACCACCAAGTGTCTCTTTGTGTGTCTCTGCAGGTGCCTACAGTTTTTTGATTGAGCAGAACCCCTTCCCAAACCACGTTCCTCCACTTGTGCCCCAATTCAGCCACTGGAGACTCTGCACTGTACTGTAGTGTTAGTATTCTAGCCACTTGCAGTTGTATAGAGTTCACCTGGGTATCCTTCCACAGCTGAGGTCTGCGGAGGAAGGATACATTAGGTGGAGCTATTGTTTCAATGGCGGTCATGACCACCGGAAAAGGGCGCTATTCTGAAATGGTGCAAACGGAACTGGTGCAAACTGAGGGCTACCACACTTTTATATATACATTCCTGACTTCTGCATATATTAAAGCTGAGCTTGCAGCGAAAAAAACTTTCATTTACATATATTCCTCAATAGCTGAAAAGCATATAATTCCACTCTGTGTGCACCATATGCCACAGACTCAGATTAGTGCTTTCCTACTTCTCTTGTGTAGGCATTTTATGGAATATTCCTTTTTATAAACCTATTTGCTTTTGTAGAATCAAGTTGGTGCTCCTTTTTGTTAGTGTTTGCACCTTTCTCAGGTGCATCATTTTTGTCAAGTCAGCTAAGCCATTCAACAAATGGATACAACCAGCTCCAAGGAGCTGCTTCCCTGGTCAGACTTGGTTGCAGACTAAATGCATTATATAACGAGCAGCCACAAAACGTGGCACAGAATCATAACAGCCATGAAACCTGCATCTTTTAAAGCAAGTCAGCAAAGGAAGCTCCCATATTCTTAAAATCACAGATTCCCTTTAAAATTATATTCTGCAATTCCATAATGCTGAATGGCAGAAAAAAAATAGTTATATAAAAAGTGGTAAATGTGTATGAGCAGGGAGAAAGCTAAGTATTCCCTCTTATATGTAAAACAGGATAAAAGAAACAATATTTAAAACTAGCATAAGTTTAGTATTTACATATTACATAAAATGTAAATTTAGAAAGAAAAATTGTAAATTTTATACCTGTTCAAAGCACTAAAACTGTTGATATTTTTCGCCAATGTGACACCAGTCTATAACTCAGACCAGAGTAAAATAAATAAAAACTTGTAGCTAGATAAACAGATACATACATTGAAAATTAGTGCATCTGCATTGGCCTGACTGTTTGCAGGGAAAACGTAAAAAAATTGTTGTATTCAGTAGTAAGCTAATAGAATGATAGCTGTTGAATACTTACAAAATAGTCTCTCACTTTCAGGAATGTGGTTCTGAGATCTTTCAGTTTAGCAGGGAATATATTTATAGCCCGCTGACAACTTCCTTGAGCATCTCCACTCTGACACATCACTGCCTTGCTGCAGGTAAAAATGAGCAAAAGCAAACAAAACACGTTCATGTTTATCACAGCTGCTCAAATGGTCTTGAAGGAAAGAAAAAACTAAACAAAAATAAACACAGCAGATCTGTCACAAACTGTCAAAATGTATGGCCCTATTATATAGTAAAATTCATGCAAATATTATAATGTCGTCACAATATTTCCTGTGTTTCCTTCCACACCACAATAGTATTTCATCACGTGACAAAAAAGTATTTCTGGTAAGTGTTTTTTCACATGCGATTTCTGCAAACAAAGTTTTTTTGTGTTCCAAATTTGTGGTTGTGGGTTCTCTTATTCACTTTGTGTTATTTTTATGCCTGGGAATGATAGTAAATACAATAAATAATGCAATTAATACTTATGTAAACTTTTTCCCTTAAATAGAGGCAATATTGGCATTTGTGTATATGTGTATATATAT